GAGTGCATTTGGAAGGAAAATCCATCCGCCCATTCTGCCCATTATTGCAGAATTGTCACCCTTCTCGGCATCGTGATAAATGATTCAGTGGAAAAATTGATTCACAACCTAATTGAAATTGCAATCAAGTGCATCTAATGTTTCTACCACCCCGTCCCTGTTGATGGGGGTGCAGCAAGAGGATCTTGATGAATGCATATCCCAACTGATGTCGTCCTGGCCATGCTTCTCACCTTCATGTGGGAGAGTCTGTTTGTTAGTGGAAGAGAAGCCTCTTGAGCACACACACACAATTTCGTATTCAAGACGCCGCTATTTTCTCACCAAAATCCCACAAATCCTGAATCAATATTTTTGTTCCATCATAATTTGATTGCTGAAGGATGGGATTTGCATTCACATTGCCAAGTTGATCCACACCCTTGTTCCCGCGCCAACAAATTCAATTTAACAATCCACACGGGTGCAGCGAAGATTCAACTTCTTAGGCAATTCTTATGACGCTAACAACAGCCGCTTGTCACCCTTGTCGTAATGCAAATGCCACACAACTTCATTAGGGATGAATTTACACAATATTTGAATTGCGCGCACAAGAGAAAAACCACAATTTGCGGATGGTAATTGAATTTGCATTGAGTAAGCTTCAGCACAACTGGATTATGATGCAATTGCTGGGGAATTTGCTGTGTGCGGGATGAAGACAATATTTTGAAATTGAGATTCATCAGAAAATGCTTCAAAAAAAAAAAGAAAGAAAACTCATCGGAAAATATTCAAACTTCCTGAATGACAATCTGAAAGCCATTCAAGCATTTGCGCGCGATTGTCAAAACTCCACCAGCGAAAGGGTGAAAAATCAATGGAGGGGTTGGATTTGAATAATTAATCACACCACAAATATGGTTTTGCTCCCAGGGCAGATGATCCCCCGCGAAAGAAAATGGGAATACTTTTCAACCACACGCAAAACTTTACATTTTCCCCGTCCGCCACTCGTCAACTTGGGGGGAAAAGTACAAAAAAGGGATAAAGAATGAGTCTTCTGGTCTTCGACAGTTGCCTCGCCGAGAACCTCCATTGCGCGACACAAAAGTTGAACCACGGCAGAAGTGGCCTCGGGGAACGTGCAAAACTTTCTTCTCTCCCCCCAAAAATGAGCATCGCTCAGAAGGGTGTGGATTGTCCCTTAAATCTTGGTGGTGTGAGATGTCTCCATCAGAATGTAATTTTCATGCTTGACTGCAAATTGCGGCAGACACACAATTGCTCCATGCCTAATTGACCTCTTTCAATAGCCGGAAATAGATGAAGAATAATGTATAATTCTCCCTCGTCGAGAGACACAGTTTTTTTTCCTTCTGCCGTTCACCATGAAATGGCATTGATTTGGTATTCAACTCAGTGAGAATTTTTTTCTTAATGAATCCATGGAAATTGGAAAGTGAAGAGTCGATGGATGCCAGAAGGAAAGATATCGATTTGCCACTCTAATTATGCACAATTATTCCCACAGAATGGACATTGTGATGTCTGATGCAGGGTGACTCTCTAATTTAGCATTGTGCAGGGTAGTGCAGATATTGTGATAGTGCAGTGAATTTTTATTAACTCTCTGCTATGCTTTATGATCATATAAAATGCTCATTTTAATATCTCTTTTACCAGTCACTTAAATGTCTGTTTTCTGTATTGGTGGGCGGCGCATCTTAATGGGCGGAGCTAAGTGATTTATTCTTCAAATAACAAAAAATCTACCAATAATTGCAGATGCCATGAATATCATTGCATATAAATTCATCATTGCTCTCTCGGAGATTTTCTTCGCAATGTATTTGGTGCATTTGGAAGTCATTTATGCGTGGCAAATGGAAAATTGAGATGGAAAAATTGATCATGGCACATTTTCCACCCACAATCATCGTCCCATCCATCAATATTTCTTGCTGAGGACAGTTTTATGCTGTGCATCGCCCTTTTGCATTAGTCTCCATCAATTCAGGAAGTGTATTTGATGGCACAGCATCATTTTCTCGGACAGAGGGACATGAAGATATGACCAAGATCACTTTTATGCACTCATACGAATAATAAAATCGTGTTTGTGCCCACACCAAGGGCACTCTCGGATGAGCATGACATGCTTCTGCTTGTCGTCGTTCAACTCAATTTGACCAACATCATCTGGCAGACCCCAGCACAAGGCTTCCCTTTGATGGCAAAACATCCTCCAATTGTCCTACAATTCCGAAAGGTTCACCCTTTGTAAAACTCCTTCAGGCTCTCCCCAGAGAGGGGAAGAGTGGAAATTTGCTGACCACACTGGGAATAATTCCATCAAAGTCGATTTACATTGCACACATGGCAGAAAATCACCTTTGCGGTGGTTCACCCCCCTTCAAAGAGCCACCAAAATCGATGATCAAAAGTTTCCTCCCAAAAGCCCCTTAGTGGGGAAAAATGGATCAAATCGGTCCCAATTATATTTGCGAAAGAGAAGAAATCTCACGGATTAAGTGCTTCGCTTTTCTCGGGTGATTTCTTTTCATGCTCTTTCCCCAAAAACACTTGTGCTGACGTCTCGCAAAGAGAGCTTTTCTCCCACACTTTATAGACGAATCGAAATGCAATTGTGCTTCATGTCAATTACGTGAGATGACTTTTGCTACCCGAATTGCAAGACATGCCACTCAAGTCAATGACTTTGACAGAACAATGAGCTCATTAGAAAGTGATAAGAAGGAGGAGCAAAACTTCCTAATAATGCTGTACTGTCTGTCACGTGCAGAGGTGATTTTTCGCTTTTTTATTTTGATGTGCACAAGGGATGGTAAAAAAAAAGCTATTTGGACGAGAATGAGTCCAAATTGGATTATCAGATGAGTCAATAATGGCTGAGATCAAAGGACGCCGTGTGTGCATAGGGAAAATATTTAAATTAGTGTGGATGTATAAATAACCCATGAGATGGAGTTGCAAATAAAAGTGAGGGTTAATCACTAGTAAATTTCATTACGGAACTTTACTCTGCAAAGAGTTTGGGGGATTGTGGTGATCGACAAGGGGAGAACAGCTGAGGAGTAATTATACTTTGGAATTGATTGGTAATTGAAAATGAATTAACGTGCTATGTATACAGCAATTAGTGACGAAGAGGTGTTAGGCTAATTCATTCTGTGCAAGCAGTATCGTGTGTGAAATGATAATAAGATATAAATGGGCGGGGCGATCAAGTGGGAGGAGCATAGAAACATTCATCTTTTACAATACTTCAAAATATAACATTAAATTCGCACTATTTGAACTATAGTTTGAGTGTTTTCCAACCATTACTGCAGACTAAATATCCTCCTAGTTCTTCAAACTGTTCAGTCAACCACCCCTCGGTTGAGGTCGATTGCGCTGCAATTCGGTGCACACGAGATAAATGCGGAATAGGGGATGAACAATTGGACACGTGTTCTAATCACCAACGTGGCTAATCGATGCATGAATTTTGAAAGAAAATTAACCTGCCTATCTAATCGCTCTCGCATCCCCGGGATTTCCATACAAATTGCCATAAATAGAGCGTGTAAAGAGGACGAGATTGCGTGGATGGGAGTTGAGAAGAAGACTCAGCGCGCCAAGGCATTTCGTCGCCCCTTGAGGAGGCATCAGCGCCCCGAGAGAGTCATTTCGGCGATGGTGATTAAGTTGAATTTATACACCCCGTGATTATCAATTAGTGAGTGACTCATGGACCATCCATTATACAATTTTTGGCCCGAGAGCGGGGAGTGGGTGGGGCGCTTGGGTGGCTGAAACTGTTTTCCCTCGTTCTGGACGAACAATGGCTAAAATGTGTGTAAATTAATACAATTAAATGGAATTCACCTTCAAATATGGTTGAATTGACGCACTGGCTGTATTTTCCCTTTGACCCCCATGCATTCAAACTCATTAACCCTGTGCGCTTCTCCCCTTTTTTCCAACTCCGCACACCCCAACAAATTATAGGGGTTTCCTATTTATTTTGCCATTGACACGCTGAACACTTGAAAAGTTCCAAATGTGTTTGTCTTTGTCACTTGAAGCGCCGCCTCTCTAGGCCGTCTCACTTCGCCTAAGCTGCGGGGATTTTCTGATTTTTCACATTAAATTCCCGTGAACATTTCCTCCGTGTGCTTCAGTGGTAGTGTTGTACAGACTTCGTGAAATGTTGAGAGTGTAAAAGTTTCAGATGTTGTCGGAAGCTTTAGTTTATGTAGCTTTTTTTCCTGGATGGAAACTGCGAGAGGAACACTCTTTTGTGGCCGCTTAAATATAATGAAAACTAACACATTTTGAGAGACTTTTTAATTGCCACGGACTTTTACGGCGTCGTTAGAGGGAATTTTATTAGATGACCTGAAGGTTTGTTTGTGTGGCAGTAAAGAAAAGAAAAGGAGTACTAGCTTTGCTTCCTTAATTATTTGAAAGTTGGAAATATAAGCTAACTGAAGTTTGGATAAAGATTTTTCAATCAATATATCTTTATCAACCCTTTAGGCAATGTTTTAATTATTAAATTGATTTATTGATTAGCTAAGGCTTCTGATTATTTGGGGAAAGATATTAGTTTCTCAGCAAATCACAGCATTTCTGTGCGTGAAGCACAACTTTAATACAACTTCAGTCACTAACCCTGTGCTGCTTTGCTCTAGCCATCGTCAGATGGCGCCGTATCTGTGGGAGAGCGAAGAGAGCAAGAAGAGAATTTGGCGCCGAAGAAACATCGCAATGTTTGCTGCGAGTTTAGTGCAGTCAGTCAGTCTCTTGCCGGCCGTCCTCGCGAACGTTGCGCTCCGTTTTGGGTGAAGTGTGTCGTGTCCACGAGTGTAAACTCTTTGGCTTCCAAAAACAAATCCCATAATTGCCAAAGTGAAATGGTGCCAAAAATAGAATACTGCAGTTTTTAATACATCCAACCACACTTGAGTGACGCTGGGCGCGAGCAACAGCTTCAATGTTGTTAAACTGTGATTAATGTGTAAATTGAAATATTATGTACAACATGTGTTTATACAGTAATTAATCTTCCATTGATGGCATTCTCTCTCTGTTGGGATTAATTGAAATATTTACATATTAGTAGGAACGCACAATTTGGTGCAGTTTTTTCCCTTCAATTTCATTTTGGATTAAAGTGTTTCGAGTGAAATGATGATATAATTGGAAAATTCATGGTGATTGTGGTGGGAATGTGAGGAATTTTTAACGATGGAAAGTGCGCGGTGAAAGAGTGAATTGGCGGCCAGATTGCAGTCTCAAGTGCACACCTCCTGGCGCTGTGCTGAAGGATCCACGGAGTTAATTAGGCAAAAAAGGAGGAAAAAAAATGGTGGATATCAGTTCGATAATCGAGGGAACGGTGAAGTTCCGCGATGGCAAGAAGGTACAGCATTGGTGGATGATTGAGTGTGTGATTGATGGGTGTGCAATTGATTGCTTCAGCTTCTCTGTCCAAGGACTCCTGCGGAGGGGCTTCTTCACTCCTCCAGGATTCCGGACAGCTCAATGGCGCTCAACGTCACTTCACCCGTTTGAGATTATTCGTGTAACGTCCTCCCAATTTTCGGACGGGCAAAAGTCTGTCTGTCAATATTGATTTGTACAGTTGTGTTGTGGGTTGTTGACTACACACACACACACCCCCAAAAACATCCCCCCACCCCACATTTGAGAACCACAAGAACATCTGAATGATTCCCCATTTTGGACACTTCGCCACACAAATGAGACAAAGGACAAGAGAATGAAGGAAGCAGGGATAATAAGAAATATTGATATTCAATAGACGTCGCTCAACTCCTCCACGGATTCCTTATGCCAGAATGTTGAGCTCTGAAAAATATGTACTAAACTCTTGAGAATGTACAGCATTTGACCTACATATCTCGGTCACCTTCATTGCATTTTCAATGCCAATAATTATGCTGGCTGTGCAGAAACATTTCTCCGAAACATTCAACTCCGCTTTGGTTTCACAGCATTTGCTCTTCAACCCAATTAATGAGAGGGAAAAATAATAATAGTGCACAATAACTATGCTGAACAGATGAATCAACGAGTTCTATACCGCAAAAATAATCAAGCTAAATCCATACATTGGCAATATGTGCTATTTATATTGGTGCTACTGTTGCTTATCTATTCTATACTGTTTACAAATATTAGAATGTGATTCTAATTATTTGCCATGAATCTGATATCAACCACTAAAGTTATGATTTCTAGGGGATGGAATTTATGATTGAATTAAAATATTCATTCGGATTTTCACTTAACACTTGTGAGATAATAAATACCACAAAGACTCCGCCCCATCAGAAGCCCCGCCCACTTAAAGATGAAGTTCTACATATTTTCTCCTGATGCCGATTTTCTATCAATCGTCAGTTATCCAATCTTGACTGACTGTGTAATATTTTGTTGAAAAAAAAAGAAACCTTTTCCACATTCATTGTGGCTCCTTGTCTTTTCCCGCCCCCCAAAAACCCGAAAATGAGAAAGAGAGTGAAGCGTGTGACAGGGCAGAAACTCATGAACTTTTTGAACTACGATGTAAATTGTCAACGTTAACTCTTCAATGCACTCGTGATATGAATATCAAGTGGTCTCGTCTGCCAGACTTTTTCGTGTGATTTTCAATAATGCAGCCCTGTGATTCTGTCTCTCGTTTATCCTGTGACATCATGCCCCAAAATGATTGTCAAGGAATTTAATTTGAATTTCTGCCTGGCAGGAGAAAACTTCATCCCGGTTTGGGTGAATAGACTCTCAATTTTCTTGTTGGGTGGTGGTAGCGGAGACAAGGGAGAAATTAATTTCACCCCTCCAGAAATTCACCATGACAAGCGCGCACTTATTGATCCTGATGGAAGGAAGATTCCTCACGACCGGTATTCCGTGCACGAATTCGCATGAGGAATTCTTATGCATGCATTCACAGTAAAAAGACCATTGACAATCAGAAGCGGATGTGTATATAGGAAAAATGATCACTCTTTGCCTCGCTTTTCTGTGAATTTATTGAATATTTAACAATTTGCAGAATATGATTTCTGACATTCTCCAAAAAATGCATTGGAAGAAAAATCCCCAGATGATTGTCAAGCAATCTGACTCAATTTGCTAGATAGCAGTTCGCAAAATGCATGAATAATATTTTAGCCATGACACATTCCCATTGTCGAACGTCTTCTCAGGGTGCATTCGTAGGGGTTGTCCTGAGGATTAGGGACGAAACTGTCTCCCAGAAACACTCTGAATAGCGTGCAAGATATTCAATCTTTGGGGTGCGCAGCATCAGGACAATAAAATGTAAATTATGGCGGACGCCAGAATAAATGTCTCAAATAGTGATATTTTTGAGGGTGAATTTTTGTCCGAATCCCAACGAAATTGAACTTCCCTTCAGGCAAAGTGTCGATTTATGATCTCTCCAGGCGAATTCAGAAGGGATCCAATGTGCACAACAGTGGTGAATTCATGAATATTTACACCCTCCACATATTTGCTCCCTGTAATTTCGTCCAGTTGAGGGTGCCGACAAAGCCGATCGATAATGATGACATATCCCAAAATTACCATTGTGCCTTCATATCACATCATAATCAATTCGCATCCACATCAACACTGTACAAACATACGGAATTGGTAGGGCAGAAACTCGAGCATGTGATCCATGGGTCAGCAGAGGACATCCAATGCGGCCTTCTGGTCAAAAGAACACATCTGCACTTCTTGCACACTAATCTATAAATTAAACTGTGCAGAAGGATTTTGGGTAAATCTCTCAGTGTCACTTTATACCCAAATTTAAATGTGATAGTTTACTCTTCCAATATTAATGTTTTCAATGAAAATATACAGATATTTTAAACGAAAAAAACAAAAAACAAAGTTAAATCGGAGGAAATATATTAAATTACAACGCCTGAGAGCATTTTCATGGCAAACTCTGAATTTCTAGGCTATTAAATTCTTCAAAACATTCTTAGACATCAATAACTCTAGGATGCATGTTTTAGAAGCTGTTACATCATAAATTCTATATGCAATATTCAAGATGATTTAAGAGGTTAATACTCAACATGTTATTCCATCGCATTTACATCTCTTTGACTCTTGATAAGTCATTAATAAGGTATTAGGTGAATTGCAAATAGTTTCTCATTGATGTCCATTTAAGCTTAAATGTTTATTGAAACATTGCTCATAGTTACCATGCAATCAGACTGATGTTATACGGTAGAATCCTCAATAACACACGGCAATAGCTCTAATTTCTGTGCATTTCTCATCCTATTCTCCATAATTTTCCACTTGCAGACGTATCTATATTTTAGCTAATGAAGAAAATGCGGAGCTCGACTGACCAAATGAAATTTAATGCAAATGAATTCGCGCGAAACACCTTCTCCAAGAGTTTATTGGCAAAGAAAAAAAAAACGTTAATTTAAATTGCAAATTCACTACTTTAGAGTGAGTTTGTGGGTGTCTTAGCCAAAGTCTGCACCTCGTGTTCCGCCAGATGGGTTTTCCCTGCTGAAATCCACTGGTAAATCTCTAGCAATTAATTCCCGAGCAATTGTGAGCGCATTGTTTTTCATAGTACTCTCGTTGGGTTATTGAAATTGAAAGAAAACAACAATAAATCAGTACTGAATGGCTGGGGTATTATGGTGTGTGAGCAAGGGGAAATTTATAACAGAAAAATCGTCTCCCAAATGCATGTGTGTGTGTGTGGTTTAGGACATAAAGGTTTTCTAACTTGTTTTCCCGGATGTTGCTCCCGAAACAGAATTAATCTAGACTTATTGCGGTCTAAGCCTTACCCTCTGTCCGCGGTGAGTGTTGAGCATTTGCAAAATGTTTGAATTGAAATTCCACTCTTACCGAGAGAGAGAGAGCATTCCAATTGACCATGATAAAATAAAGCTTCGAATTGGAATTCTACGGGAATCTGTAGTATTCCTCAATGCTCACGGGGGTATTCACACATTGAGCGAGAGAGAGTCTGGCAAAAAGATTCCATGCCACGAATGCCACACAATGCATTTTCCTGGCAAAAGTGAAGCAATCAAAAGTGCGCTTCAGAACAGTTTGCAGAGTGAGTGAGAGAGAGTGGAAAAAGTCCCCACCCACAATCGACCGACGATGTTAATTAAATTTCCACCCTCATTTTCTTATTTTATAGTGGAAGTCACGATGGTGTGTCATGCGGAAACTGTCCCCAGTAGCAGGTAATGTACGCCCACAACCCTTGGCTGTGCTCATCGCATTGGTGGCACTAATGAAAAGGGACGATTGTAATTAATGACTTTCTAATTAGTTTACAATCGCCGATAATGAAAAGTCACTGCAAACTTGTGAATGTTTTCACAAATGCCGTGTGAAGTTTTATATGCAGACACTATATGGCAACCAAGAGGTGTCCAACTGTGCAAATTAATTAGTTCTTTCAGAAAACGTTTCATGGTTAGTGACAATTTTAAGAGAGAGAGAGAAGTTTAATCGATACTTATTAGTCTAATTATGCAGTGTTTGAACTTATGAAAAGTAATTTTTTTTTTTATAGAATAATTGTAGAATTAATTTTTCACACCTTTCAGCGAATCTCAATCATTTTTCATGCCCAGTGTTTCTCTTCTTAAATTTCATACTATCTTGATTTGTTGTTTCACCAATTGTCCACCCCTTAATTGCTTCCCAATGCCAAGGGAGATTAAAGTGTGTAGCGAAATGAACAGTGTGGTTTCGTATTTCATTTGGATACTCCGACTCATCCCTCGCCAACACTGGGCTAAGGGATGAATCCCACATTTGCAATTCACGACAATTCCGGAAATGTGTGGAATTCAATCCGGAGGGTGGTTTTCACTTGCAGATCATCTGGTCAGCACCTCATTCAATGTATTCAGCGGCGCTTTGGCCATTAAACCACTCCATTAGCAGCTGAAGAACTGCAGGCGCTGTTTGCACACTTTGGCCACCTTCCTGCAATATCATCGCACACTGACTTCTCAATGTCCAATTTGCGCGCCCACTCCATTCCATATTGGTCGGTCAGGGGTGCTGTTTTTTTTTTATCAATTCACCCGATTGGAGGCCAAATAGGAGCTTCTGCCAGAGATATAGAGCAGTTTTTTGCCCGTCTGCTGGCTCTTCCATTAAATCGTAAAGTTTGAAATATGCCACAGAGACATAATGAAATTTTGTTTAACCAAAATGCAATTAGTTTTACGATAATGGAAGGCCATTATCAGAGATTTCCTGTGCTCATACAACTTACCACTGCAATAAATATGTCAGTGCAATTGACGAATTAACTATTGGGGGCTCTTGTGATTTAAATTTTTAAAATAAACTCACTGGCGTGCGATGGTGGAAAAAAAAAGTGAGTCAATAGGCATGAAAAAAAAGCCATGCAAGCATCAAACTGTGGAGAGTTAATAATAAAACAAATATTGAATAATGTTAAACTCTGGGTGAAAATGACTGAAGAGATAGTTGAAAGGGGGAACAAGATAAAATGAATAGGTTGGAAAAACAAAAACAACAAAAACACTATAAATCGCCTCGCAAGCGCTGAAAAAATGTCATCGTGATAATTTTATCTGGCATGAAGCAGATCTCATCCCTAATTTATGTGCATGTCTCGCATGTCCGTCTCTCAATCCTCCGAGTCAAAGAGAGAGGAAAGAAAAAACAATTTGATTTAACAGGGAAAAGAAATCCACCCGAGTTGTGTTAGAGCATCACTGAACATCTATTAGAGAGGCATTAGTGATATTAACACCTCGACGCCATGAAGTGGATTGCGATATAAATGTCACGGCGACAGATAAAATATCTATCTCACGTTGGAGCAGACTTTTGATGTTGGCTCAACTTACCAAGAGACGTGCTGCCATACAACACCTGCCGCTCGCAATCTCTTCAGGTGTTGTTGTGAGTCAATATTGAGGAATGCAAATACACAATGGCATAACTGTCCCCAACTCATATTTACCAATGCTGACTGAATCACTCTTACAAAATTGCAGACGAATTGTGTATGCCCATGAAGTGCATATCGACGGGTGAATGGAAAACTATGAAAAGTCGATTTATCATAGTTTTCGTCTTATTGTATTTTTGAAAAGCTTTTTATTTGTTCTTCCTGTACAAGAATTTTGAGATTTTTATCTTATGAGACAATAGAAAAAAATCTTATTTATCTAAAAAGCACAAATAGAAAAAATTCTCATGTTTTGCGAATGAAAAGTCAAATTTTCATTGTTTACGCTGAAGAATTTTTGTAGATTTTCAGAATTATTCTAAAATGTTCTTTAGACTTTAAATGAATATTTTTCATATCTTTTGAATTTTTTTCACTTGAAAACATTAAGGAAAATTTCAAGTAAAGTATGAAAAATTGATTTTTTAGAACTAATTTCGATAAAATCAACTCGAAGATTAATAAAAAGCGACTTTGAAAAATAAAAATTTTCAGATTTTCCATCAATTTCATCATATTTTAGTCAAAAATTACAATAAATACTGATAAAATCAACTAAAATATTTACAAAATAAATAATACTTTGCAATATTTACACTTTAACGGACGATTTGAAGGCTTTTTAAGATAAAATTGGCAAATTTTGCAGCAATATTGAAGCGAAATCTTGAAAACGCTTTGCTGAAAAATTGCGTTTTTGGCTTTTCATAGTTTTCGATTCACCCGTCGATTTGGCCTTTGGGAAAATACATGAATATATATATATTCTAATATATGCAAATTTGAAATGATTTCTATTAACAAAGGTCAAGTGAAGAAATTACAGAAACGACTTAATTTATCTACGATATTATTAAGTGTTCTAGAATTACTTTGAATGACATTGAAAAAAGGCTTTAGAATTGGCTGAAACATGATGCGTGTTAATAATATATTTTCTATTTCTACACGATGTGAGGAGTTTTCCAAGGCATTTTTCATCAAATGTCTTGTTATGTGTTTACAAAAGTGACTCCATGTGTTTCACTTTAGCATTTCTTCGCTAAAATTGCCCTGGAAACAGAGCAAGAGTGAATTAACCTGGGAAAGAATAACGATGTGAGTCAAGAGAAACAGCGCGTGAGAGTCTATTAAGGCAGACGCGGTGTCAATATTTAAATATGTGCCTTGGAAGATTGTCGAATTACTTCCGCCTCTTCATATCGCAAAAGTTTGCGACTTTCCCGCGGGAAAAAAAATATAAATGGTGGGAGTTGAGAGCAAACACACAAGCTTATTTGCTTTAATCTTCGAAAATGTTAAACTGTGTATCGTTGCTATTAGCTTTAATTGAATTTCTCTGCCCTTTTTCGCTGCGACTGGGAACTTGGGAGTGAGAGGAGAGTGCCTTTGCTATATGGAACTGTGTGAGTCGATATTGGCTCCTTGGCAGTCCTTGTGTCAATGCGAATATAATCTCCAATTTATCGCATGGCAGCCAGCATATCTCGTTGTATTTGTTGAAGCCATTTGGGAGTGATGACATGGCAGAAAAGACAAACAATTCCGGAAGTCATTCCGGATGGCGGCGAAATTGAGAAATGATATCTTTTGTCGAAGAATTTTCTATAAAGCCAAAAAATATATGGGATCAAAGTAAATAAGAGCGGGACGGAAAAGCATCTCTAATGAATTATATTTTTGTCTCAGAAGAAGGATTTTCCGGTTCGGGCCCTGGGAAAATTCATTTTCCGACCCTTTTTTGTCTCACGAGCAAACACACGCCATCATCTTCGGGAGTTGATTGAAAACCCATCCCACTTGACCTCCTCTCCGTCAGTGCGGGATTTCTTCATCTTAATCGTGAGGCACTTGTGCAAATTCAGCAGCCATGCTTCTCGCATGGCACATCTAATTGTGCCCAGAAAGTGCCTCAACATTGGCAAAGAGTGGAAGAAGTTGAATAAAAATAAATAATTGCCACTGAGCAACTTGTTGCCCGGGCAGGGCAAATATTTAAAGTGTGAGTGTTGAATTTCCGGCATGTTGAGAAAATCATTAACACTTCGCAGCCCTGGGGTTTTGCTCTTGTTATGAAATACGATGCCACAGAGTGCTTAAGAGATGAGATTCTCAGCTACAATTTGACACCCTTTTTTTTTGCCATCAGAAGAATAATGAACAACGGTGGATTCGTGATTGCATGTTTGGATTCAATAAAAAAAAAATCATGTTCATTTGATCTCTTCTCCGCAATCTCTCGTCACATGATGAATTAAGGCGAAATACGTGCGATTACGGGAGTCATGCGATCCCGTCGGAATTTCTTTCTACATTTCAATTTTCACTATATACTGTGTATATATTACATAACATCTTCGTCAGAGTCAAGAAACTTTTACTGGCAAAGCGTAACAAATTTTGATTGAGAAAAGACACGTAAAGAATTTCATGTTGGATGTAGAACAACGTTTTGGATACACTGAAGCGTGAAGAAAGAACTGCCCATGATCGCGAGAATATCGCATGATTCACACACTGGAAGTCTTGAAAGTGTGAGGCGCCAGTGACTTTCTAAATTCTTTTAAGTTTTAATTGAAAATTTATCATGCATTGCGAATTATAGTAAAATATTGTATAAGAAATACCCGTTCAATCCTCTTAGTTATCCCAATTCTTCATTCACTGTATAAATTTCGCGAATGCTTGTAAGAAATTCTGTTTATGCTTTCAAGTCGAATAATTTTCTGAGAATTACAGTTCCCATAAATCTCAAGAGGCACATTGAATTTACCACAAGTTGGTTTTGTCTATTTACTCTTGAGATCCACTGTGCATAACTCTATCGAATGGAAATCCGAGACTTGATGTTTAACATCTCTGGAGAAACAGAAGGATTACCGTGGTATAAGTAGAGAAATTTGCTATAGATTTTGAAGATTTGTCTTCTGTTTAAACCAACAAATTTATCACTTTAATTAAGACTTTAATTTCCATGCGGAGAATCGAGCTAAAATATATCATCCTATTAATTCACCTATCCGTTAAAAAGATCATTTGACTTGAATACACGGAGCAATTGTGTTGGTGTCGCTTTGTTGAAATGCACTCAACATTGTCACCTTGTAACAATGTGACACATTTGATATACGAGACAATTTCTTTGGTAAATAGCACAAGTGGTGGGGTGAAAAGCATTCCTCGACAAACACCCACATCAATTAATTGCAAAGCAATTGTCAGTGAAATTTTCCACCCAGAAAC